TTGGAAATGTCCTTTCACATGGGGATGATAGTAGAAATATCAACACCTGATGTATTCATTGGACTGCAGTTCTAAAAGTGGTGTTCATGAAGTAATCTTGCACAACTGAAGATAAAATCCAGCAAGAATAGAATTGGTCGGTATTGAATTACCAGCGTAAAATCAAATTAAAATAGGCTAGAAGGCTTACTAGTAAATGACTTACTATTTTTATTAATGTCAGATTTTTGGCATAGAAAATATCAAGTGCATCCTTATTGAGCCAACTAAAAAATAGCATTTTTTTCATTTAACCTGTAATTTTACTCCATAGATATTAATAACTGTCTAAAGTGATTAGTCTGTTGTTGTTTTGAATGCCTATGTTAGAGTGTGTCTTTTCTACTCTAACTTTGTTGCAGCCCAAGTGGATCTTCTGGGGAAATTAGAGAAGAGCAATTGGTATGGATGTATAAACAGTGGTCTAAGTTTATAACCACGTGCTTTAGATGTAAAAAAACCTTTTCTACAAATGGATGATGATTTAATGATAAGATCAAAGCTCAAAATTCTGTTTTATCAAACTTCTCTTTTAAGAAGATATCTTCCTCCAGAAACACTGCTTGAAAGAATTAAATGTCACTGATCCTCTGAGTATTTAAATGGGGAGGGGACATCAACTTAAAACTGATTAATATGGGTCTTCAGTTTCTGGAGATCTGGATTAGAGCCTTCATTTAAATCCTAAGTAAAAAAAAAAAAAAAAAAAAAAAAAAAACCAACATTTTTTTACTGTACTGAAACAAGGTACTAAATGAAGAAGCGCAGGTGTGACCCACTACTGAACTCGCATTTTAGTAGAAGTGAAAAAGCAGAAAGGTCTTAAAACAGCAAAGGTACAACCTACCAAATAAAACTGTGTCCAAGCTGCTCTGCTCTGGTAATTTAAACTGCTCAAGCAATACTCAAAATGTTAATTGTAAGTGTTGTCTGTAAGGTGTACTTGACTTAATCATCACCTGTCTCTTTGCTCTTTATTTTTTCTGATTTAGGGGAAAAAAAAAAAATCCCCTCCTTGTTTTTTTAACACTATACACTAATGATGATAAAAAAGGTCCTCGCTTTAACCAAGAGCCATTGTTTCAAACCAGAGACCTTTTTGTTGTGTAATTATCTTTGTTATAATCTTAGCTAAGAAGTTCTGATTTGGAAGAGCTTTTGGAGAGCTCCTCCGATTAAATTGAACTACGTTGCCGGTTGTGAAACTGTTTGTATCCACAGGGCACTTAACGAAATCAATCTCGCGTGTGGCTAGCCGTGCTTGTCTCCGTCCCTCTGTCAGTGGGAGCATCGGAGCCGTATGGGCAGCCGGCATACTGTGGTGGAAGCGCAGCCACGCGGTGCCCCTCGCGAGGCACACCTTTGTCTTTTCAGAGACACGCTTTCTTTCTGAAGTGGGGCTTTTAGGAATTTGAAGTACCCAGCTGTTCCCCTGTTTTCAGAAGTCTCCTGTGTAGTCGTTATTCTCGGAATACATGAACATGTCTGGTTTAGCAGAAACGTTTTCTGGAAGAGAGAAACCACCAAACATGAGTTATAGCGTGACCTGTCAAACTTATAAACAAACCATTTTACTGCACCAGTACCTTAAGAATTTGGATACAGGCTGGTTTTCTGAAAGCTTTTGGTAAATGAAAACAATGTAAATACAATGAAAATGAATGTTTTTGCTGTGTTCCCCTGAGGCACTGTAGGCTTTTTCTTTAATCTGGAGGAAACCTGTGTTTAAAAATATGGGGAACTTTTCTTGTTTGTTGTCCTCTTTTTTTTCCCCCCTTTTTTCTTTATTCCCTTTGTTCCTCTTTTTTTATTTATCTTTTTTTTTCTCTTTTTTTCTTCCCCCCCTCTGCCTGGATTACACATCCTTCTTGTTCATTGAATAAGAAACAAACATTTATCACTACGAAGTGTTTAAAGTAAATGTCAGCAATTGATAGATGTGTTTTTTCTCTTTTAAAAGTCCAGTTAATTTTGACATGAATGTGTTCTTACTATAAGTTTTGGAGTACAGCATATTCTCAGTTTAAACAAACTTGTGCTTTTTTTTTTATCTTGAACTTTCTAATTAGGCTTAAACTATGAGCAATTGATTTATGAAGAACATTTTTAAAACATCATCATTTGGGCCTGGTGTCTATGTACATGTTATTTTTGTAATAAGCTGTTGTAAATCTTCAGGAATTGTTACAAAAACTTGTTTGTCCATTTGAGTTTGTGAGGGTTTAGTTG